TCCGTTTTTTGCCGATGCCCGTGATGCCGGCCCGGGCAACCGCCCATGTCGCACATATCAAAAACCGCTACTGCATGTCCTTTTGTGCATAAGCGCTAGAAGTCGCTTAATTTCAAAACATGGTTTGGTCATGAAAACGTGCTGGAATAGCTGGTTTGGAGATACTTTTTCTTTTTTTTCTTTGGGGGACAGTCTGGTTTTTTTTTAACTTCTTTTACTTTCTTGTGAAACTACTAAATTCTTTTGTAAAAATCCACCCATCTATATCAGAAAAGGCACAAAAACAAAAAAGGCACACCGAGCAAGAGGGCGGGGATTAATTTTCTTTTTCCAACCAACACTGTAAATGAGAAAACATCACATCACTGAGAGGAACGATGAAGGAAACATCTCTGCAATGTCTGCTCTGTAAGCAAAAGACCTCTTTAAATTACGTAAAGTTTATTTTTACAGACTTTTCGGTTGCTGATTGATGACAGATGAAAGAAAACGACATAAACAGTGAAACAGAATTGAAAGCAAGTTTAAAAAAAGAAGACCAATTTCAGCTGCAAAGAGAAGTTTGCGCATTTTACACAAAAAACAAAAAAAACAGGATGTGAAAAACTGAATTCAGCATTTTAGTGATTTCAAAAATGCTGTTACTTGTGATGTCTTTTCAAGAGTACATACAACAAGTCTTAAGGATGAAAACAAAGTAGAACGATATTAACAAAAATGAAAAATCTTGCTTGTTTAACAACAATCCAAAAACTCCCCAGATTAAGATAACAGTGTTAAGTTCTGCTTGATTTTGCTCAAAAGCAGAACAAATTAAATGTCTACAGATAACATCAGCAGCATCCACTAATAATACATTAATATCAAAATAATAATCTGTACCCAAACTGTATGTTACACTGTTCTTTCTACACAAAGGTAAACGTAACACTATAATCACCGATCTCTGACACATTCTTATAGAAATAATTAAAGTTAAAGGTTTCATATTATCCTGAAAATGAAACATGTTTTATGTAGGTAGAATTTATTTCTATCAGTGTTCTGTGTTTAAGTCTGTGGATGTGATTTATGTCTGACTGCAGTCATCACATTTCACAAATCACAAGTTTCACATTTTGACATGAGGCATGCAGCAGACTTTGTAATCAAAACTTACACCACAGAATATTTTCTCTATATACACACAATGTGTGTATATAGTTATATTTCCATCATTTTTGTGACCATCATTCTAACTAACTAAACAACTTTAACGTTGTGTGAGAAACAGAAACAAT